CTTATCTTACACAATCCTTACAACTCATTAAAGTAGGTGACATCACCCCATGGTGCAGATGAGGGGACTGGGGCCCAGGTAGGTGAACGACTGCCCATGTTCTGTGGCTGGGCTGGGAGCAGCCTGGCCTGACTAAGCAAGCTCCCAGCAACCGATTGTGGCTTTAGGGCAGCGGTTCTCAACCTGTGAGTCACCATCCCTTTGGAGGTCGAACAACCCTTTCACAGGGGTCAGGTCACCTAAGACCATCTTGCATATCAGATATTTACACTACGATTCATACAGTGGCAAAATTACAGTTATGAAGTAGCAACAAAAATAATTTTATGGTTGGGGGGTCACCACAACATGAGGAACTGTATTAAAGGGTCATGGCATTAGGAAGGTTGAGAACCACTGCTTTAGGGGCTGATCTGATCCTCTGCCTAATTAGGAAAGGGATGACTTTGGGGTGAGGAAAGGGAACTAATCAGACATCATGCCCCACCAACAGATTGTAGCTGTGTGCTAGTTTCCCCTGTCCAGCCTTATGTAAACCCTCAGCCCTGTGGGTGAACAGCAATGGATACTTCCCACCCCATTGGCACACATCTGCCCTGTTCACTGACCTGTCCCAGTGAACAGTGGAATGGGCCTCAGACGTCAGCACCTGGCTCATGCATGCCATCCCACACAGCTGGGAAACGGCTGTCTGCTTGCATGGAGGCAGTGCAGAGAAGTATCTTTGTGAGCAAAAGCTGAAAGAGAAATGTTTAGCCCAAGGCACCATTTCCCCGAAGGTCATGAGCTTAGAAACATCAACGACGTGGAAAACAACTAGAAAATAGCTTTCCGAGGTTAGAGAGCCAATGTCTTGGTTTTATAAAGGAATACTTGAGGGTAGATAATATATAAAGTAAAAAGGTTTACTTGGCTTACGATTCTGATGACTGAGAAGTTCAAGATCTGGGCATGTGCACATGGTGAGGGCTTCAGGCTGCTTCCACTCATGGGAGGGGCAAAAGGGAGCTATCGTGTATAGAGATCAGACAGAGGGAGAGAGAGCATACCAGGCTCTTCTAAATAGTCAGGTCTCCTGGGAACTAATAAAATGAAAGAACTTGTCCCTGAAGGAAAGTATTAAATCCATTACTAAAAATGGGGTCTGCCCCATGACCCAAACACCTCCAACCTCCCATTAGGCTCCACTTCCATCACCCGGGATCAAATGAAATTTTTTTTTTTTTTTTTTGTAGAGACAGAGTCTCACTTTATCGCTCTCAGTAGAGTGCTGTGCAATCACAGTTCACAGCAACCTCCAACTCCTGGGCTTAGGTGATTCTCTTGCTTCAGCCTCCTGAGTAGCTGGGACTACAGACACGTACCACAATGCCTGGCTATGATCAAATGAAATTTTATCATGAGATTTGGAGGGGACAAACATCCAAACCATAGCAGCCACTAGCATTGATGTCACAAAACCCATGCCTTAAGCTAATAAGCTCTCACTCAATGTGTTTACTCTTAGTTTACACATGCTAGTAACAGTCTGTGGTGTCTCAATTTCTTTCTTTCTTTCTTTTTTCTTTTTTTTTTTTTTTTGAGACAGAGCCTCAAGCTGTTGCCTTTGGGTAGAGTGCTGTGGCATCACAGCTCACAGCAACCTCCAACTCCTGGGTTCAAGCGATTCTCTTGCCTCCTCTTCCCAAGTAGTTGGGACTACAGGTGCCCGCCACAATACCTGGCTGTTTTTTGGTTGCAGCCATCATTGTTGTTTGGCTGGCCCAGGTTGGATTCCAACCCACCAGCTCAGGTGTATGTGGCTGGCATCTTAGCCACTTGAGCCATAGGCACTGAGGCTTTTTTTTTTAAATGGATGAATAGTATTTCATGTTATACATATACCACAATTTTAAGTCAAATACACATAGATCATGAATACATTCATGCATATGTGGGGTACATTGTTCTAATTTTTTTTTTATATAATCTAACGTGGTTACATTAAGCCAATCAACATAGCTTTCACCTCATTTACTCAATTATTGTGTCAGAACATCTGTGTTCTACATTTTACAGATTTGACTTGTACCCTTGTCATATGTTCCATAGGTGTGATCCCACCTTTTACTCTCCCTCTGTCACACCTCCCCTCTCCCCTCCCCTCTCACTCCATATCTCTCCATCATCCTGGGCTATAGTTGTGTTCTATTTTTTACAAGAAAGTGTGAGTAAATATAAGTAGGTTTCATAGAAGTACTGAGTACATTGGATACTTTTTCTTCCATTCTTGAGACACTTTACTCAGGAGGATATGTTGCAGATCCCTCCATGTAAACATAAAAGAGATAAAGGCTTCGTCTTTTTTTAAGGCTGCATAGTATTCTATGGTATACATATACCACAATTTATTAATCCATTCGTGAGTCGAGGGGCACTTGGGCTTCTTCAATGACTTGGCTATTACGAATTGAGCTGCAATGAACAATCTGGTGCAAATATCTTTTTTGCTAAGTGATTCTTGGTCTTTTGGATATACTCCTAGTAGAGGAATTGCAGGAGCCAATGGCAGGTCTATTTTTAGATCCCTGAGTGTTCTCCAAACTTCTTTCCAAAAGGAAGGTACTAGCTTGCAGTCTCACCAGCAGTGCAGAAGTGTTCCCTATTCTTTACATCCATGCCAACATCTGTAGTTTTGGGAATTTGTTATGTGGGTTACTCTTACTGGAGTTAGATGATATCTCAAAGTGGTTTTGATTTGCATTTCTCTGATGAATAAAGAAGACGAGCGTTTTTTCACGTGTCTATATGTCATGTGTCTCTCTTCTTCAGAGAAGCTTCTGTTCAGGTCTCTTGCCCATAGTGAAATGGGATCACTTGTTCTTTTCTTAATACTAAGTTTGAGTTCTCTGTGGATTCTGGTTATCAGACCTTTGTCAGATACGTAACCTGTAAATATCCTCTCCCATTCTGAGGGCAGTCTGCTTGCTTTACTTACTGTGTTCTTGGCAGTGCAGAAGCTTTTTAATTTGATCAGATCCCAGTAATGTTTTTGGTATTGCTTCAATTGCCCTGGGGGTCTTCCTCAAAAAGTTTTCTCCCAGACCAATTTCTTCAAGTGTTTCACCTGCACTCTTTCCAAGAATCTTTATGGTTTCATGTCTTAGGTTTAAGTCTTTTACCCAGTGAGAGTCAATTTTTATTAGAGGTGAAAGGTTTGGGTCTAGTTTCAGTCTTCCACAAGTTGCCAATCTTTCTTTTTTGACACAGTGTCTCACCATGTCATCCTTGGTAGAGTGCCATGGCATCACAGCTCACGGCAACCTCAAACTCCTGGGCTTGAGTGATTCTCTTGCCTCAGCCTCCCAAGTAGCTGGGACTACAGGCGCATGCCACAATGCCTGGCTACTTTTTGGTTGCAGTTGTCATTCTTGTTTAGCAGGCCTGGGCCAGATTCAAACCCACCAGCCTGGGTGTATGTGGCCGGTGCCCTACCATTTGAGCTATAGGCGCCAAGCCACAATTTATCATCTCAATGGTTCGATGAGGCAGGCTTTATTAACATTCCTACTTTATTTATTTTTTGAAAAGTAAATTTATTTCAGGTTAATGTGAAGATACAAACAACCAGGTCAAAATATTTGATTTTGTTAGACAGAGTCCCTCTTGTAGGTTATCAATTTCTTTTTTTATAACAACTTTATTGGCCAGGCATGGCAGCTTATGCCTATAATCCTACCACTTTGGGAGACTGAGGCAGGTGGCTCACCTGAACTCAGGAGTTTGAGACCAGCCCCAGCAAGTGCAGGACTCAGTCTTTACTAAAAATAGAAAAACTAGCCAGGCCTATGGCAGGCACCTGTAGTCCCAGCTACTTGGAGGCTGAGGCAAGGAGGATCACTTGAGCCCAGGAGTTAGAGGTTGCTGTGAGCTATGATGACACAATGGCACTCTAGTTGGGGTCAACAGAGTAAAACTCTGCCTTAAAAAAAAACAAAACTTTATTGAGCTATATATACTTCACATGCCATAGAATTCAGCCATTCAAAGTATACAATTCAGTGGCTTTTAGTATATTTAGCCTTGTGCTGCCATCACCACAAGCAATTTTAGAATATTTTCATCAACCCAAAAAGAAACTCTGTACAAGTGAACAGTCACTCCCCATTTTCCCCCATTCCCTGGCAACCACTAATCTACTTTCTGTCTCTATGATACATTCATTCTAGGTGTTTCATTAAATATAGTTATATAATGTGTGGCCTTTTGCAATTGGCTTCTTTCACTTAACACGCTTTCAAGGTTCATCTGAGTCAGAGCATGTAGCAGTACTTAGGTTTTTTTTTTTCTTGAGACCGAGCCTCAAACTATTGCCCTGGCCAGAGTGCAGTGGCATCACAGCTCACAGCAACCTCCAACTCCTGGGCTCAAGTGATTAAACTGCCTTTGCCTCCCAAGTAGCTGTGACTACAGGCACCTGTCACAACACCCAGCTATTTTTTGGTTGCAGCTGTCATTGTTGTTTGGCAGGCCCGGGCTGGATTCGAACCTGCCAGCTCAGGTGTATGTGGCTGGCACCTTAGCCACTTGAGCCACAGGCACTGAGCCAATACTTAGTTTTTTTTATGGCTGAATTGTGCTCCATTATAAGGATATGCCATGTTTTGTCTAACCATTCATCAGCTGATGGACATTTGCGTTGTTTCTTCTTCTGAGGTATTATGAGTATTACTACTATGAACACTGGTGTAAATGTTTTTGCATGGATATGTTTTCATTTTTCTTTGGTACCATGTTTCCCTGAAAATAAGACACTGTCTAATATTTATTTTTTCTCAAGAAGACACACTAGGGCTTATTTTCAGGGGATGTCTTATTTTTATTAAGTATAATACAACAATCTACATTTATTCAAATACAGTTAAGTCGTCTTCTTCTGGAACCTGACAGGGGGAGCCGACCTTGTTGGTGGGGCTGGCGCTAGTGATGCGTGAACTCCTCTCTCCTAGACGTTCGCACATGTGCAATAGGATGCCTGCGACCATGGTTACCACACGTGTATCCATGCAAGTGCCAAAAACGCAAGTGCCAACAGCTAGGAGAAAGGAGCTGTGGCAGATAAAAGGTATTCCAGTCTTCCTTACTGCTCCGCCCCGAAATGCATGGTGTCGCTATGCCCATATGCTGCATAACCACACCCATCACTAGGTCTTATTATCAGGGTAGGGCTTATATTTAACAAATGCATAGACATCCTGCTAGGGCTTATTTTTTGGGTAGGTCTTATTTTCGGGGAAACACGGTATATACCTGGGCGTGGAATTGCTGGGTCACTTCAAAACTGTTTAACCTTTTGAGAACTGCCAGACTTTTTTCACACTGGCTACACCATTTTACAGTTCCGCCAGCATTGTATGAGGGTACTGATTTCTCCACATCTTCACCAACACTTGTTATTGTCTGTCTTTTAAAAAAATTATTATAGGCTTAGCACCTGTGGCTCAAGCAGCTGGGTCACGAGCTATATACACTGGAGCCAGCGGGTTCGAATCCAGCCCGGGCCTGCCAAACAATGACAACTACAACTAAAAATAGCCAGGCTTTATGGCCTATAGTCCCAGCTACTTGGGAGGCTGAAGCAAGAGAATCACTTGAGCCCAAGAGTTTGAGGTTGCTGTGAGCTGTAACGACATGGTACTCTACCAAGGGTGACAGCCTGAGACTCTTTCTCAAAAAAAAATAAAAAAATTATAGCCGTCCTTGTGGGTTTAAAGTGTTATCTCGTTATGGTTTTAATTTTCATTTCTTTGAGGGCTAATGATGAGCATTTTTTCATGTGCTTAGTGGCCATTTGTGTGTCTTTTTTTTTTTTAGAGACAGAGTCTCACTATGTCGCCCTCAGTAGCGTGCCATGGCGTCACAACTTACAGCAACCTTCACCTCTTGGGCTTAGACGATTCTCTTGCCTCACCCTCTCGAGTCTCTCAAGTAGCTGGGACTACAGGTGCCCACCACAACACCCAGCTATTTTTTTTTTGTTGTTGTTACGGTTTGTCCAGGGCAGGGTTTGAACCTGCCATCCTCAGTATATGGGGCCAGTGCCCTACTTACTGAGCCACAGGTGCTACCCTGTGCATCTTTCTTAATTAATTAACCTATTTATTTTTGAGACAGAGTCTCAAGCTGTTGCCCTGGGTGAAGTGCTGTGGCATCATAGTTCACAGCAATCTCCAACTCCTAGGCTCAAGCAATCCTCTTGCCTCAATTTTTTTATTTTTAGTAGAGAAGGAGGTCTTGCTTTTTGCTTAGGCTGGTCTCAAACTCATGAGCTCAAACTATCCACCTGCCTTTGCCTCCCAGAGTGCTAGAATTACAGGTGTGAGCCACCATGCCCTGCCCCATTTTATATCTTCTTTGGAGAAATGTCTATTCAAATCTTTTACCCATTTTTATGTAAGTCATTTGTCTTTTTTAGTATTAAGTTGCAAGAGTTCTTTATTTATTTATAGTTTAGTTTTTTGAGACTGAATCTAATTTTGTGACCCTCGGTAGAGTGCTGTGGCATCACAGCTCACAGCAACCTCAAATTCTTGGGCTCAAGTGATTCTCTTGCCTCAGCCTCCCAAGTACTTAGGACTACAGGCACTTGCCACAACGCCCAGCTATTTTTAGAAGTGGGGCTAGTCTTGAACCTATGAGCTCAGGCAATCCACCCTCCTCAGCCTCCCAGAATTCTAGGATTATAGGCATGAGCCACCATGCCTGGCCTATTTATTTATTTTTAAAGACAGAGTCTTACTCTGTCACCCAGGCTACAGTATAGTGTTGGAATCACAGCTCACTCCAGTCCCCAACTCCTGGGCTCAAGTAATCCTCTGGCCTCAGTCTCCTGAGTAGCTAGGACTACAGAAACGTGTCACCAAACTCAGATAGTTCTTTTTGTTTTTGTTTTTTCTAAAGATGGGGTCTCAATATGTTGCCCGGCTGGTCTCGAACTCTAGGTCTCAAGTGATCCTCTTGTCTTGGCTTCCCAAAGTGCCAAGATTACAGGCCTGAGCCATAAGTCCAACTCAGTGCAGGGGGACTTGTGTATTCATTTATGGTCTGCTTAGCCCCTGGTGCTAGCTGTGGGCACATACTTGCTCATCTCAATGAGCACAGTCAATGAGCACTCAATTGACGCTGTCAGTGAGTCCTTGCACAATGAGACTCAGTCTCAAAAATAAAAAATTAAAAAAATTTTTTTAAAAAGAAGATATCATTGTTCTGTGAGTGTCATGACTACCCACTATGTGTGGCCTGCCCAAGAGCACATAGAGTCTGGCTGGCATGCAGGCTGATGGGCCAGGAGGGGCTCCCAGCCAGAAACACACCCCACACTGTGGCCCTGCCAGGAATTAGAGGGCACAGCCTGGGCAGAGACCCAGAGGCCACAGGGACACGGGAGCCTCCGTGCCATTTTGTCCGCAACTTGGGAGGAGAGGGGGACAGGTCTGTGTGCAGCCAACAGGCCTCAGCCCACAGCGCTGCAATCTGATCCCCTCCCTGCTCCCTGACTACATCTATAAATAGGTACTGTGGGAGCTGGGGCCCAGACAGGGCTAGTCACACCCTCACCTTCAGGCCACGTGGACAGGCAACAGGGGCTCCCACTGGACCTCTGGGACCTCCAGGGCTTGTACCACTTGCTCTGCCCCCAGCCCACATTGGCCTTTAGAGCTGCAGGAGGTTTTGTGCCTGGCAGAAGGAGAGCAGAAGAATTTGACACAGCCACTGCCCGAGAACTTCAGGAAAGACGGCTTTGAGCTTTAAACATATGAACCCATTTCATCCTCACAACAATGATTAGAGAGGCACAATAAGTGTCCCGATTTTATTTGAAAGGTGAGGGGACCAGGCATTTTCATCCCCACAGTAATGCTTAGAAAGGTATAATTAGTGTCCTGATTCTAAAGGTGAGGGACCAGGCATTTTGGAGGGAGGTTGAGTGAGCTGGCTAGGGGTCCTAGAGGACACTGGCATGTCTGTGCAGGGTGGTCCTCTATCTGTGCACTTAGGAAGCATGGGTCCCCACAAAATGACCCCCTCAACCAGTTCTTGCTACCCTGTGAGATGAAGGGCAATGTTTCAAAACCATTTTTTTTTTTTTGAGACAGAGTCTCACTATGTTGCCCTCGGTAGAGTGCTGTGGCATCACAGCTCACAGCAACCTCAAACTCTCGGGTAAGCTATTCTTGCCTCAGCCTCCCAAGTAGCTGGGACTACACATGCTCACCACAACGCCTGACTATTTTTTTGTTGTAGTTGTTGTTTAGCAGGCCCAGGCTGGGTTCGAACCCACCAGCCCCGGTGTATGTGGCTAACGCCCTAGCCACTGAGCTACAGGTGCTGAGCCTCAAAACCATTTTAAAGACCATGCCAGAGATTAAGGAGTTTCCTGCACTGCGGCAGAGGCAGGGCAGGACAGGAATGTGTGTCCCTGACTCTGAGGATGGACAGTCAGTGCACCCCTTCCACACTGACGGCTCTTCCCAGCTGGTAGGGGCCCAGCTTTGCTACTCCAGGGCACATCCAGACAGCTCACTGACCTCTCTGGGCAATAAGTCTGTGGAGCTCAGACTACAGAGGCAGGCAGACCTAGATCCAGCTCTTCCTTCCCTCTCCTGTCTGGGCCACGTGGAGCACATTCCTCAACCTCTCCGAGCCTCATTTTCCTCTGCTTTAAATCAAGGATAATAACAGTGGCTGTTTAAAGGGTTTCTTGTGAGGACTTGGGGACCATCACTCCAAGAAAAGCCCAAAGCAGTGCCTGGCATGCAGTAGGCACACCACAAACAGAAGCTTCTATAGCCTTTGTAAAAGGTCCATGTCACAGTTTTTAAAACCTTTTAAGGTTGTGTTATGTGTCATCTGAGAGCAGAGATTGTGATCTCCATTAACAAAGGTGGAAACTGGGGTCCAGAGAGAAACGGGGTCTCATCTGAGGACACATAGCTGGTTCATGGCAGAGGCAGGCCACAGTCACCTGATCCCCCTCCTCCATGCCAGCATTATTAGGCCCTGTACCACCCCCTCACCTGCTGTTAAGAGGTTCTCAGGAGAATGCTGCAGAAAAGTGGGAAGAGAGAGACACCTATGTGGGGTGTTTTAAGTCATCCCTGCTGCTCCACCAGCTCCACTCAGGGGTTCTTCAACCCTGTGAGCCCATTGGCTGGTGAAGCCTGTGGACTTCTGCTCAGAATAATGCTCTTATGTGCATAAAACAAAATAACCTAGGGTTAGAAAGGAAATGTACAGGAGAACTTCTGTAAGTTGACCACCCAAGGGACTGTAACAAACTGGTCAACATACAGAGGTGGTCAACATAGGAAACGAGGCCTACTGTACTGATATGTACATGAGGTGCATGTCTGGTCTATGAGAATTAGGTCCACTTAAGGAGGTGGTCGACCATAATGAAAGTTAAAATGTTTTTAAAAAGATGTATGGGCTCAGCGCCTGTGGCTCAAGCGGCTAAGG